ACATAATCTACAAAAGGGTAGGTCCTGCTCCTCTAACCATCTGGCAGCCTACGACAAACGGACGGCATGCTGAGACCTCCAGGCTTGTGTGAACGCGTACTTTATGGATTTTTCCGGGGCTTACGACAGGATCCCGCGGGAGGCTGCCTTGCAGAAAATGGCATGGTCGAGTATTAGCGGTCAGGTACCGTTCGCATCAAGGGACAGTTTGGATTTTAAGGAGTTTGGTACAAAATTTGGTGGGGTTTGCTCAACTTGAAGGGCTTCGTCATACGGCTCATCACGAGGAGCAGTTGCTCCTTCATGGCTGTGCCGACTCTTCGTCAGTTATTACACCTAATCCCAGCCTACCAATTATACACGATGCCGAGAACATTGGGTTATGGAGAGCTGCGACACTCGGAGGACAGCCGAGCATACTATATGGCTACCTAATACCGCCTAGAAATTTAGCGAAAAACGACAGGCTATTATTTAAGCATGGTAGGTGCTGGACCATGTTCTCCGGCACCCTAAATCCGCGATGGTGGTCTACTCTCCACGTGGTACGCGCCCATCTCACACGAACACAGAGAAACAGCTGGGACGAACAGTAACCGACAAACCACATACTGGTTCCGGATATCCAGGAGACGCCTGAAAAGCCTACACCGGACTACGCTTCATGTGCAGACATCTAGGAATTCCCACCTCGGAACTCCCTTACCAGCGTCGCCAGAACTGTGTACAGCCTAACAGAAGGTTCATAATGTCACCGCACTATCATATCCTGAAGGGGCTCGGAACCTCCCGAAGAAATTACAAAGTCGAACCACTAAAACGTAAGGGGTGCTGTGGAAGTAACACGGGAATAGGATTAAAGATCTAGACTTTTCTGTCTTGTTTACCGTAAATTACGTGGTCGCTTGATAACGGCCCACGAGATCCCAAGTCATCCAACTCATCCGGACACCAGGTTTTCGCCGAGCAGACATGGCGGCAATACTTGTAGGGGCGGAACGAGGATGATCCATCAGGCAGCACAGTCCGCGGACGTTCTCATATCCTCCCTTCAAGTCTGCAACCACCGGGGTGTACTACGTTTCTATATTTAAACCACCCCACCTGTCGTCAGCTTCAGGCAGTACAGCGACACATGGTCTGAACTTATCCGGTTACAATGTGGACTAGGTCAGAGCAACCAGTTAGCGTCATGTAACACTCTTCCACCTTCACATTCGTTCTCTTCAGCTGCTGATGTAATCGGGAACACGGCCCAACCTCTTACTTCCCCATTGGACGTGTTGCCATCCGGCTACTATACCACCTCTAATATTCTCATTTCTACTTCCATAATCGTTGCCATTATCTTCCCTGATTCTCACACTCCGATCGACTTCGTAATTTTACCCTACACGTCAAGGTTCTCCATGTCTCCGATTCCTTCCGCATGTTCACCGAATTTTCTCGCTCCATCTCTCCGTTGGTCCTATCTTTCTTACCCCTGTTTTGCTTGCTTCCCCCGACTCGTTCTTCGTAGTAATCTTTTCACTGTTGTTATCCTCTTGTGATCATTCAGAACAATGCATGGTAGTGCTGCATTTTAGGAGCCCATCCGCAGTATGTTGTCAGGACAAATAATTCACCTCCGCTTGAGCTTAGCCAACATCAAGCCGCCCATTTAGTTAACACGAGCTGAAGCAGACCAGCAGGTGAACCTACTGAATTGGAACCCACCAAAGCGAGCACGAAGGGATCAGTCATCCTGTGCATGTCTAAAAACAAATATTTGATTCAGTCCCAATTCGATTTTCTTTGGCATTCTTTGGTGGGTGGTGAACAAACACGATATATATTGAACTCTAAAGAGCTAGCGCCTAGTCACTATGAGGTTTGTCATTATGGGGTCAGAGTTATCCTCGCCACCGACTTGTGTGGGATCGCGGCTGTCCACCTGTTTGGTGGCGTATAAAACTCGTGTTGGTCCTTGACAGTAGACCGAAATACATCCTGTTGATGGCTAGTGCACCCAGTTTTTGACTATCGTTTTTCACCTGACATTAATTGGGGCACGTGAATATCACAATTTGTTCGAAGGGGCCATAAGATGGCAATTATGTTTTCTGCGAGAAAAGAGGATTGTCTTAAAAGGGGGCGGCCTTCGGAGTTGTTTGGTGTTCGGCGGCAGTGGTAGGCCCCCCGATTTCAATGCTTACAAGCCATATTCTGTCATATCGCCCAGTTTGTCGCATGTAAGAACGCCATGACAGAAGTGTCTTCTGTCATATGGTTTTAGTTTGGTTAGGCCATTCGTCCTCAGTTGTTGCCTGCTAGATTTTTGAAAATAGTATGTCGGAACATGTCCTTGAGGCATCTTTAAGGTGGCCTCTCTTCATTTGAATTAGTTTCTCAGCCAAAGTAATGGCTGGCAGTATCAACCTTGGGGGCCTGGGACTTCCGCTACAAAAGGAGTCCATACATTTGGCCAGGTTCAGGTTGAACGCATTATTGGGAAGGGGCACTTCCATCCAAGAACATAAATTCCGTCAGCAAAGTCGATCGCGATCATTTTCAAGGTGTAGCACATCTCCTTCGTGTTCCTATGGGTCCCAGATGGCTAGACTCTCTGTGCTTATACTTGTCGTGAAACTCCTGTTTTCCGCTATTATCTTGACTTTGTTCTTGATACCAGTACTCGGACACCACATCGCTCCTGCGCTGTTCACTCCCGCTGCTTGTGAGTGGGTTATCTCCAGATTAGGAGCAAGCAACTGACTGTCCGAAAAATCATGATTCCAAATTGGATGCAGCTCCCTAGTTCCCATCCATGGAGGTGTTTACACCCCCATACACATCACTGAAGTTTGTGGTGGCTTTCGCTTTTATCAGTACTGGTTTTGGGCACTTGATTATTCAACCGAAAACGGAATGAATGTACTCCTTTTACATTTTCCGCGAACGGTCTGGCACCTTTTCTCATGGAAAACACTTACGCTGAACGTCTGAGACTCCGTAACGATCTCGTTTCGGTTAGCGGACGTCTCTGGCTTCTGAGTGTAGATCAGATACTTGATGAATATTTTCTTCATCCTTCAAGGTCTCGCCTTTGGTACGATGGTTCCCTTCACCGTCCCTATGGGATTTTTGATACGTTCGGTTTTTTAATCAACAGAATCTCATTCCATAATGACTTGTCATATGTGCTGTATTGAATGTTGGATCATGTTCAATTTAGAATGAGGCTTATGTGCTTCGGTACTTAACGAAGCTGGACATTCAGTAGTGCGGAACATATCGTCTCATCGGACAAAAGCTGTCACCTTTTCCATTTTAGTCTGCCTATCAGTAATGTCGCACAGTGAAACAGTATCCTTTACTGGATAACGTTTCGGACACAATTTATAGCCCGTGTTCATACCATGTGACTCCACAGCTTTGAGACATCGTTTAACATAGTTCTAATTTTCTTGCTTTCTTAAGACTGTATAAGCCGTCTCAAAGTTGCGGAATTACATGATGTGAGGATGGACAACTAGTTGTGTTCAAAATGTTATCCATTCTTTGATACTGTTCCACCGCGTGGCATTTCTAACAAACAGACCAAAATGCAATCAAAATCTACCACAGTATCAAAGTTTTACTCCCACATTATTGTCACGGCTTATTTTTCTAGTCACTGCATCCATGGGGTGTCAAAGCTACAAGTATTGATTTTGCAGCTGGCTCCATCAAATCGGACTTCGACTAACAGTGCCTATTGTATGTGCAGCATGGATTCGGTTTACTCCCTTCTTAGGAAAAGCTGATCAAGTTACCAAACACTGCTCGGCATCAACTGTCCCAGTTATCATATTGCATACCGCTGCCTACCTGGGAAGTGACACATCCTCTCACACAAACAAGGTTAAAGAATCATTATTCATAGTTACTGACTAGGTGAGTAGTGACAGAACTGCGAAGTTAGACCTGGGGGCGTAAAACAGAGCAACACCAGTATAAATGGCCTTGCCTGAAAGCACGTACAGAAAGAGACAGAATGCAAGACAAAAAATAACTTGGAAACCCGAAGAAATAATAAGTAGTTAGAATTTTACTGGATATCATGCCCCTCAGCAGACTCGTTCAAAAGACGGATGGACAGTTATGTCACTTCGCACGGTTTACCACAGACATACTCAGGGAGTCGCTGATTTCACTGGCACATCATCACTTCCTTCTACCTACCACTTACTATCTCTCTTCTTAATACACCTACATTATCTACAAACGCTTTAGCTGCTTTAGGAAGACCTGGTGCGAACTTGACAGACGCAGAGGCCAGTCACCAATTATTAGAACTTGTTATGTACCCACGAATACGAGACCAATAAAGAACACAATAGCGTAGTCGGATGGAATAGTATATTTGGGTGGTCGTGCCAAGATACCGATGCCTCCCAACTAAATGGCTAGAGGGTCGATTACGAGCAGTGCAACGTGACATGACAGCGGGCCAAGTGACGAGGATGCTTGACCAGGTGCCTCCAGCCTAGCGAGTCCAGTGAAACTATGAGGGTCAGCATCAATGTCGAATCTCGTCAAACCCTAGGCGATTGATTCTAGAGAAGTGTGCGACGCTACACTGTCTACTTTTACTTTCCGGGTAATTCCCACATGCTGTTTTCTCACTATCTTACTGCTTCTATGGAGGCACCTCAACAAACAGGAGTCACAACAGACCCTTAGACATCCCAACAACCCCTAGCTGTCCAGTCACTCTTCAAATTGCAGTTTATTAACCCATAAGACATTCACCTTACCGAAGCTACAAACAAGAAAGCAGAAGACACTTCCTTGTCCACTGAAGGAGCGAACCGAACAACTCGAGCTAATGTCTAATAACTAGATGCGACAGATGAAAAGCCATAACTTTTCGATTGAAGATTGATATTGGACTAGCTCGGTTGTGCGCGGCTTGAGTTGTTGCGTTACGGCGCTTAATCTGTGGATTCTTTAGAGTTAAACCCATTTCCCTCTGTTAGCACGGAACCTTTCTCTACAGTAAGTTTCCACACTGTTTTAAAAAGTATTTGGTCCTTATTCCTGGACAGATTTTATGCACTCTTCACGCAAAAGATCCTCAATAAATTGTGATATATATAATACTAGGGTTAAGATATTGGTATTTTGCAGTAGATATATCACTTGTTTTCTGGAGTGTTAAAATCCTTGCGTTGCAATTATGGTACAAGTGTAGATGATTGATGTTAGAAGGTTGCAGTTATCATACAATGTTTTTTTTTCTTTTTCAGTCGACTAAAGATCTTCAGGAGTATAGACATTAGGCCTGTGGCCGGTTCTTTTTCTCTCGAATTTTTTCGTTAAAGGGTCAGAGCATTACGTTCTGTGTTTTAGCTTCAGTCCGTGCTACCAAAGAATTTCTGAGCGTGATGGTTCGACCGTTGTTTATGGATTTTCTGAATGTCTTTTCAGATTACTAACTCCACAATTAAGGAATAAAAGGGACAGATTAGCTGCAGTTACTAGTCGGGAAGCAGTATGTTAATATGTTATCGCTTTTAACCTTAGGTTAGGTTGATAGACATCCAATCGATGTAGTCACTCCTGATTATAGAGGCTAAAGAACCCTTTAGAAATTTCATTTCTTGGCCGCTAGATGTATTTTAATGAGTTAGATTTACGTATGTAGCTTACATTAGGTTCCCGGGTTACGTGCCTGTAATGATGCCTTACATATGTCGGGCATGAAACAGGACCAAAACATGTAACCGCTTCGTGTCTTCTAATTTTAACTGTCATGTCTCAGCCGTATGGCAGAAAAGAATGAGCTGCTTCGCAGTATACTCGTACTTTAACGGGTAGTCGGATGTCTAGCCAGTTGGCGCCAGAGATGGTGCCAATTGGCAGATGCCTAAGAGGATTTCTGTATCGGAGCTGACATTTTGTCATCAACCAGCCGGGTTGAGGTGATTCGACTCCTCAGCTAAATAAAGTGGTCGACGCATTCTACCACTTTACTTCCTATCCTCGGACTGGGAGTGGTTACAGACCAGTCCTGGAGCATCGTCTTGTATTTGGCTTGTGAGAGATGCATACAATGCATCCACAGATTTCTACTCGACGTTTAAAACATGCTGCATTTTATCAGCATCGTCAACCAGCAGGACATTATTGTCTGTCTACTTCAAGTCAGTCACATGCACTCTGGAGAGTAGGTAAGTCCCTGTGAAATCAGAATTTGTATGCACTAATACATGTATAAGAAAACTAAACAAGGACGATAACATCGGGTATACCTAGCGGATACCACTAGTTGTCGTCTATTTACATGATCACTTCCGTTAGTCCTTACATGACTGTATGAGTTGGAGTAGAGAGCTTGAATTAGCGTTATAAACTTGCTTAATACTGGTTTATAGCTATGCACTGCTACAACATCTCGCGGGAAACAGAGTTAAGTGCCTCCTTCGGCTCAAGAAATAAGGCATCGGCCGCTGGTTCGCCTGTATTCCAGGAACCGTCGGAAAGTGAAGATCTGATCGAGGCGTCGTCGCCCATAACTGAAGCTTGCCTGGTTTGCTTGTGGTTGTTGTTCTCGAGCTCCACTCAAGCGTCGTGAATATGGATCCCAGGATTTTGGGCATGATATTTGTTTGTCACTGGAAGACTTCTATTCCTCATAGACTGGAATGTTTAGTGAAGTAGTTAAGTCTAATGGCACTACCTCTGATTCTCATACTATCTAGTACCTCTGTTACTCCGACCAATAGTTTACTGCACTGGTTAGCCACTAGAGAGCAATCAATCTAGTTCTGAGTGCTGACCGAATTCTATCAATCGTTTTGGTATATGGCCATCAAGCTAGGAGACTCGCCATCGTGGTACACTTTGATGGATGTTAGCTAGGTGGAAATAATCCTCGTGAAGCCCTGAAACTAGGTTTTGTGCTTGTTGAAACTCGTCAGGGAGGTATATCTGCAACCCAGAGGGAACTGATGTTCCCTGTGAGACTTGAACCCTCAGTGCTGAGCCCCCTACCTTGGTGGCCACATCGTATAGTGATCGATAGGATTCGGTCAGGACTCAGGACCAAACAACATGAAATTGGTTGCTGTCCAGTAACCAACCAGTGTATGTAATCCAGTCCTGCGGGAGGTCAGTTGTGATCCGAATAGCTCAATGGTAACGTCACTGACTGCAACACTAGGTGACTCCTTTTCGAATCTCAGGGAACATCAGTTACGTCGAGGTTGCAGATGCGCCTTGTTGATGAGTGCCAACAGTCACGAAACCGAAATCCGGGGCTTCCTGCCGATTGCCTCCAACCAACTAACACCGATCACAGTAGTTTACAACCCTTATCTTTAGAAACACCTGGGAGAAAACAGTCAGGTCCAGTTGGTTTGCATCTTTTCAGGTTTGAAATGACCTTCTCAGCTTGGAGAACCGGTATCTACGTCGCATTCAGATTCAGGTTGAATGCTGGGTAACCAAAGCGTTGTTGTAGGTCAACCAAACTGTTCTCTAGTGTTTCACCCAGCGGTCTAGCCACCTCCTGGGAGCTTATCAGGGTACCATTCTTTTCGGTGATGGTTTCACTAACCACTGTCTTTTTGTCGGTATCCGTAATAAGCCTCAATAGTTGCTAGGTGTTACCCAACGCCGATGCCTTCTCCATCTTTCCCGCTTTCCCCAGCCACTACTGCTCGGGATCTTTGCTTTCTCTCTTCATCGTGACCAGAGCCAGCTGAAATAAGTCTTCTCGCATCAATCATTTTGGATGAAGTTGCGGAAATCCAGTGACGTTTGCTCACCTTCGGGTGTAAGTTACCAACTGTCTACTGCCGTTTCTACAACAGAAAATATCACACCAGCTTATTTCAGGATGAGCACTACTGTCACGTTCAGATAAATACTTAACTAACTCCACCCTAAATACGTACTCGACTTTTCCATCTCCCAGTCAAATACAGAGCTTTAACTACCGCCTGTTTTCTTCAACTTTCAGGATACAGACACACGTGCCCCTACTAATACATGGAACTAACGGGTGTCCTGACAGGTACTTCTGGAAAGGTGGCAGTCCTCCACCTATCCTCTCCATAGATGGCTTATACCAGTATGATCTGTCTGTGTCCATTGTTGGTTCGGTTTCAATGGATGCTATGTAAGACAGTGTCTCTTCTTATGCTTAAAGTTAGTGTTAGCCAGAAAAAGGTGATTGTCAGAACTAAATTGTAAATAATGATCATCTTTGTCGGTTCGTTGGCATGGAATTCCGTAGGTATCTCCAGGATACCTTTCCGAAAGGTAACATCATTAACACAAATACAACGGATGTGGCTTAACGCCCACTGCATAAATGTACACCAGGTTACTGAGCGTTTCGTTTCGATTCGTCTAACAATCCTCCCTAGGTTTTACAGATTCTGTCTGTTGAACAGTATATAAGTATCTGTTGACTAGTATCCAGTTGAGGAATGCACCTTCTGGATAACTCAATGCAATGCCTACAGCAAGTTTACGAGAGCTAGCCATTGTCTTGATATTCGTACAGTGAATTTTGAAGGTTCACTGTTATGGCCAGGTGAGGTCAACTTAATAACCACACTCGTCCTGTGTACGTGTCTCGGAAACGGCATATATCCAAAGCTAGAGATTCCAGAGTTCTGGCGAGCGATACCTGCTGTCTGATTTGGCGTAGAGATTTGACATTGAAAGCTCCAATACGAAATTGATGGTGTAGTCTTCGCGGACTAGGAATGAGGTTTCGATGGCTTGGGTCGTCGACAATGGTTGCTGAGTGTAAGGTTGAATTAGTTGCAAGACATGCCCTGGCTAACAATAGAGTGAGGTGGTTGAGCACGTTGAACACCTCACTTACCTGGGAAGTCGGATCAGCCCTGGTGGGTCAGTGGCCGACGAAATCTCTGTACGTATACAAAAGGCTCGGTTAGTTTTCGCCAATCTACGCCATTTGTGGCCCAGCCGCCATATCCAAATGTCTATTCAGGGTCGAATATACTGTGCTACTGTCCCCTCTGTTCCACTGTATGGCTATGAAACATGGTCATTGGGAGATTTGATAAGGCTTCTGGTGTTTGATCACCATTGTCTTCGCAGCATAGGCTGTTTTGTGGTATCACCACGTAAGTAACTCAGAATTCAGGCGTAGAGTTTAATGGAAAGGAAGAGAGGAAAGTCAGTTTTGATGCGGTTGTGAATCACCACCGAATGAGATGGCTGGGACATGTGTTACTTGTGTCTAGCTACCGTCTACCTCGTCGCACTATGTTAGCCAGAGTAGGATCAGGCTGAAAAAGGACTCAGGGCAGTCAGACTAAAACAGAATCAATGCATGAAGTCTTTGACTGCTCGTTTGAGCCATGTTGAGAGATGCACACTGGCCGGGTTGCGTCTGAGGGACAAGAGGAACCAGTGGTTGGAGATTCTAGTTGATATGACTGAGAACCGATGTCAGTGGCACAGATGTACCCGCACATAGTATTTTCAGCTTAACTGCTATACTTAATATCATCATTTTCTCATTCCACCTTCTTCTCTTTTGTTACTTTTTACCTCTTTGCTGATTTTTCTTCCCTTCACTTTCAATTTTATTCCCTTGTGCTGATATAATGTGTGACAACTTGGATCATTACTCAGTAATGTCTGATCCTATGTTGATTTTGATAATGATGAGTCACAAGAAGCTTAATATTCGTATCAGGAGGTGAAGGCAAAGATGATGAAGGAGAATAGGTTGTTTGTTTATGTCTCATGTACTATTGGAAGTGGATGGGTGCTAGACACTTCCCGGCTGCCCACATCGTAGAAGACTATTTCTTCTTAGGGTATCTAAAAAGTAAGTGATACCGCGTAACCATAGTGCCTAAGGGACACCTTAAGGCCTGTCACACAGAGTCCGTTGGGGATTATTGGCTTGAGACTTTGTTGTTTTAACGCCGGGCACAGAAAACCCGTACCTCAGACCCCGGAAGACGACAGAAATATATACTCTATTTTGGGCTGACCTTTGCCAGTACTCACTCTTCCCATAGAGAAGGGAGCATCAACGTGACACTGCTGGTTATCCAAGGCGATCGCCTTGCTGCTGTCACACCCCATTCACCCAGCAGCGCGATTTCTCCCTCACACCCCGTCTTAGCGTAGGAATATACACTATAACGGCAACTACTTTTTGTTTTACCACTATCCAGTTAAGCTTTCTGGGATGGTAGGATGTCGACAGAACAAGCGTTTCAGCCATTGTGATATGGTATGCTGACCAAACCACCACATCAAGGTAGCAGCTATCGGTCATGGAAACTGGAAAGTTGCTGGATATCAGTGAAACTGTTCCCCGAAGTGTTTCAGTCGTCCCACCTGCAAATGAGTCGCAGACTCATCTTCTTCCTCTGTTTTTTGCTGACCATCATATTTTTCAACCGTTTCCTTGATGTCTAAATAAGTGTCTACTGTCCATCTGGTAACAGGTAGACGATATCCCGAAAGATCAAAGTAAAGACTCACACAAGTGTATCAATCCAAGTTTTCGTGCGACTCGCTAGGAAAAATCTATTCATTCATTCCTACTTGAAGAAGTTGAAGGCACTAAACAAGAATCATGAAAACAAAGATGATAAGGAGTTGGCTATTGTATAAAAATTAACTTTAGGGATGATCCGAAGATCGCTTTTTATTCAGTAAGTCAATACTCTGAGTACTAGGTTGACTGTGTTCGTGTGATCCGTTTTGTATTGAAGCAGGAGAAATAACTCTACACAGAATCTCCCATAAAAGTCGTTTTGGTTCAAATGCCACACTTCACAGAAGTACGGAAGGGAGAAGTAGACAGTAAGTTATATCTAAGTAGAAAAATGTGTAAGAGAGGAGAGAAGATGTATAGACGAAGGTTAAGAAAATATTCAAGACTTTGAAGATGACATTATGTGTATGCATCTGTACCATTCTGACCGATATTGAATCATATCACCAAAGGTCTCCAACGACTGACTCGTATTCCCGTTAGGATTCCAGACAGGCAGTATACTCCTCCTTATACAACTCCAATCAGTAATCAGACTTTGTAAAATGATGACATATCTTGTCAGTACGACAATTAGCCTTTATGCAGTTGAACCTTATTTGCCATAACATTGTGTGTCAAGGTAGGTGACGCCTCAACATGCATAACACATATCGAAGTGAAGTCAGTCGACAAAGGGCAACAACCTCATTGACTGACTTGTCTTCCTTGTCTGGTAACCTGTATCTAACCTTGCAATCAGTCACACGGTAATCCCACCATACGAGCAGTGCTACGCAGATATCGAATAAAAAAACCTGATACCTACTTTCGAAATTTATAGTTGAACGAAGCAGACTTTAGTGCATTATACCCGTCCTATAATAGGTAGTCGGTTATCTCACCAGCGTCAGAGATGGAGCAAGTGAGCGAATGCCAAACGAGTATTTTTAATCGTAGCGGAGATTGTCATCTATCAGTCCTTTCTATCTAATACAACTCCAGAAGTAACCAAAGTGATTCTACCTTTTCACTTGTAGGGTTTTACTGATTTTAAAAGTAGCCTTCACGGGCTGACATCGGTTGAAGGGTCGTTGAAAACCTGGGTCACTAAGCAGTCGTTTCGTCTTGGTGCCCCCAGGTTCTCAACAGTAACTGGTGTCAGTCAATGAGGAGTATATATATATATATATATATATATATATATATATATATATATATATATATATATATATATTTATATATGAGTTCAGACAGCCTTCGTATCTGCGACAACATTTAGTGGTAGTGAAAGTTTGAAAATAATCTTGAACTACTCAACTTGGAAATAGACACTCATCAGCTTTACATATTTTTTCCTTCAGGTACCTGGTTAAGCCCTATCTTTATTGGTTTTCAACAGCTGTTAATTGAAGAGAACCCCAAGGAATAAATTAGAAGGTATTTTATTGTCGAGAATGGATGGGCTTGTTACTTACGATCCTTCATCTCTGAAGATGAAACCCCTACGTCGAACGCTGCTCCAACTGGTCTATTAAAGAGCAGTTTGATCAAGTCAGTTGATGTTGCTCCAGTTGTGGAACACAAAGTAATGTTTTCCCAGAAAGGATAATAAGTCTGTGTATCTTATTTCTTAGGATGAGTTTTTGTCAATTGTACCTGTTGATCCTCATTCCCGTGAACTTATTCATAATCCTACGTATGAAGAATTGTTTGCACCGACTGTAGGTCATTTTTGTGATGTAATTTATGTCTTTTGAACTGAACAATAGTTTGGCCCTATTAACCCATTTAAATCTGAGAAACAATTGGCTGCCAAGAATACTTTGAATGGTTATGTTGAAGAGGCTCATGTCAACATGTTTTCTTTCGAGAACCAACACAGAACGTTTATGACTTATGGTGAGTCTATAGTCTTACATTCTAATCTTCATAGGTTATGCTGAAGACCCGTCTATCGAAGGAGGTGCTGATCGACGTTTAGTCGGAGAGGTGGAAAGTATGGCTGAAAATGAAGGTGAGGAGTAAGGACAATGTATTTTGCTTTTCTTAGAAATTCTTAAATAATGGCTTTTAAAATTAAATTTTCCGAATTCGATTCTTATGTACAAAGGCGTAAGTTTGTCTCAAAGAAATATGAAGTCATCTGTAAAATTAACAAGTTTGTATGTATGTATGTATGTATGCATGCATCATAGGCTGACTTATCAAGATAAAGGTCTCAATTTACTCTATGCATTTTGAACTAATCTATTGTTGTCTATATGCAATCCACCGGAGACCTGTATCTGTGCAAGTAATGGAACGATTGATCATTCAACTTATTTACTATGAATGATTTCCCTCTAGTGACCAATTAGCGTGTCTAATCCAATCCTACTGGAAGTCAGTCACGTCGGAATATCTTAGCAGTAACGTCGCTCGATTTAACACTAGGTGATGCCGGTTCGAATATTACATGAGACACCAGTTCCCTTGGGGCTGCAGATACGCCTTGTTGATGAATCCAAACAATCATGAAACCTAGCTTCAGGGCTTCTTACCGATCGCCTTCAATCAACTATCATCTCTTGCATTTAATGTAGGAGTAAAACTTGGACATGGTAGTAGATTGTAATTCTATTTTAGTTCGTTAACTAGAAAATGCCCCGCAGTGAAACAATATCATTGACTGGATAACGTTTCAGACATAACTTGTTGTTCATATTCACATCATGTAACTCCACAACTTTGAGACAGTTTATATAGTTCTAGGAAGGAGAGAAAATTAGAACTATGTTAAACGATTTCTCATAGTTGTGGAGTTACGTGATATGAATATGGGCTATAAATTGTGTCCGAAACGTTATCCAGTAAATATCACTGTTGCTTCACCATGTCAAATTTCTAATAAACAGACTAAAATGGAATCTTTTGCATTTCTTAAACCATAGGATGACCAATAAGTGAGGTCGACCGTTAGTTATAATATTTTGTTACTGCTTAACTAAATCATTAAAGTAACAACCACCCTAGGATCATCGAGAATAGTTTTAATCTTCCACGGGTGTAGATACGAAGTCATATTCTGGTTATCATACTGATAGCCCGTAATTTGATATGTGAATCTAAGAATGCCGAATTAAGTTTTTCGCATTCGATTTTCAATTAATGAGCCATGGGTTCGAACCCCGCCTCACCTACTTAGGTTTGGTTAGTCAGCTAGTATCATTAGGCTTCACACATTAGGTATGGTTCATTACCGACTATACAAATGTGTACAACGTTGATGAGTGGATTTCAATTTGAATAGCAATGATACCACCTAGGACTTCAGATTTTTTCTAGACGAAGCAAGTTTAGAGCCTGAAACTCACTCTCTGAGAATTGAATGGATAAATCAACGAATCTTGACTTTGTCTTCACCAATAACGAGTCTGCTATTCCACATCTAATGCTTAGTCATAGAGGCTAAGCAACTATTCATAAAACCATTCGAAACTAAAATTTATATCAGTTTCAGGATCGCTTGAATCTTTGAAATCTTCTAGGGAAATTAGTTAACAGTGTTAGTCAACCCGAAAATGTCACTCGGCATTATTGTGTGGTGATACAAGTTGAGATACTTCTTATCACCTCATTTATGTTAAAAACGTGAAGATGAAATATATAGAACTAAGGAAGAAGGTGGTTGAAAGTTATGAAAAAAGCGGAACAAACAATAAAACCCTAATGAAATGCAATTTGACGATTAGGGGGAGAATAAAGTGTGGACGCATCTATGGAGCTGAGATCAGTCCAAAGTCATATAGCCTATAGTCTCCACCCACCGATTTTGGTTGTTTCTTGGAACCCATCGGGAAGTCTACCTTTCCCTACTTGGCTCAGATTAGGAGTCACCGAATTGATAAACTAACGTTATATTTTGGTCAAGCAAATATTTATGTGCTGAATATATATCCGTCCTGGAGAATTTTTCTTCAACGTCATATTTTTATGTCTAGGCTGGATCATAATCTAGGTGAGAACAAGGATGTCCAAGAAGAACCAGCTTCTCAAGTTCCTTAAAACGTACTGTGCCAGATTCGACAAAGGTGTAACAAAAGAAAAATTTTCATATTGTGTGAGAGTACATCTTATCACCTAACCCTTTCTATAGATTTTGAGCAATATGAAAAACACCGTAAGAGTAGATTTGTAACAAATATTTTAGAGTCACAGACTGTCATCTTGCGTTAGGCAATCCTACTCACAGTAGTTGTTGTATACTTAACCGAAATAGGATTGAGTTGGATGAGGCTAACTTTCTTATGTTCAAGACATTTCACCAGTTCCTAGAGTCTTTTATTGTTGGCCTTGGTGAAGTATTGAGGAGTGAACTGCCTGCCGGGAAAAAGAAAAATCGAAGTCCATTCAGTAACCTTGTGCCTATTTGTGCAGTAGGCGATGAGGCACACCTCTTGTGTGATATCTAAGGATACTACCTGGCTGCCCAAACCTTAGTAAGTGGAACGGCGTTCGAACCTACGACCCACTGGAAAGGATAGGAATCAGTGGTTGAAGACTCTGGGTGATATGGTTCAATATCGGTCAGAATGGCACAGATGCGCACACCATGTCACCTTCAAAGTCTTGAATATTTTCTTAACCTTCATCTGTATATCTCCTGTCCTCCTATACACATTTTTCTTTCCAGTTCTTCCTTGCTTGCTTCTGTGCAATGTGGCACTTTGAACTGATGAACGTTTGCGGGAGGTTTTGCATTGATTTATCTGTCTCTTAGTGTGTATGGTAGGACTGAGATTAATTATTTATATATCTGTAGTATCTGTTGCTGTGTACATGAAATATATAAATCTGTCCCTTCATAATGATCATTCAAATCTCAGACCATGGTCAACCAGTTTTCTGATACCGTTTGCATGAGGTTTTCATACTTGTTTGTTATACACCAGTGTGGTAAATTTTACATGAAACGTATATTCGTTGACCTATATGATTGACTTCTGCTTGGTGAATTTACCAAGCTACTTATGATAATGGTTTTCCACATGAGTGGAATGGCGAAAGCTAATGTTCGGGGATTAGTGGGTACTGAGAGCCCTCTAGGGGAGTTGGAAGACCCTAATTTCAAACCAATGGTGTTCATGGGCTCCAGGTTTCTGAAGGAAAAAAGTGGCATATGAACCTATTTTGGTCACCGTCAACTATGGGAATGCAGCTCCTAATGTTGCTCCACTGCTTTGTGGATTGGATTTTAAGTTAAAGGCTTAGGGTATAGTCCCCAAAGACAACCACCTGCTTCTGTCTGAGAGCCCGGGCAGTGTCTCAGCCCTCACATAAAATATGAAATTACAATATACAGTGATGATTTCGATGCCCCTACTCAACTTTATCTTCATTTCACTCAGCTGCCCTCCGTTGCTTAGACTTCTAGTTGATCTGTGCCGTTTTGAGTCGCTCAACGTTTGCTTTCATATCTGACACAGCTATCCTGAAACCACGTGTACCGTTTAAGGTCGCCACCTTCAACGTTCACACCTTCATACAGATGGGACAACGGACAAGTTTGGTTAGGGCTTTGAAAAGACTTGCTGCTAATGTATGCTGCATCTCAGAGACCCGCGTATAAGATTGCAGTGAAGTGCTTCGAATAAAGTTCCTCATCTATCAGTTCAAAAAGCATGTTTCATGTGCGCTTATTCGTTGACCCTGTGGTTGTGGCAACTGGTCTCACTAGTGTCAGTGTCGCAGTAAGTGCTAGAACTGAGGTTGCAATACTCGACTGGATCCTCACCAACGGTTGTCTGCGTGGTGCTTAGCTAGAAGGTTCATCCCAAGTGAGAAGTAACTGGCATGAGACACAATGTATGTTTGTCATCTCTTCCTATGCTTCGACGGATTACTGTCTGGATGCAACCAAGGATGAATTCTATCATCAACAGAGTGACCTCAACTAAGTGCGTTGGACATGTTGTAGCGCTAGCTGGGGACTCAGGAAAGTCGTTTAGGTAGCCAGTGGAAATTATCTTCTTCAGTTTTGCACAGATCACAACATATTTCCAACCAGCACCAACTTCCGGCACAGCCATAGCCGTTGTGCTACTTGGCATCGTCTCTCTATCACTCAAACCCGGACTCAAGTAAATCATATTGCAATCAGCTACCGATGGCCTGGGTGCATACAGGACTGCCGTTCCATATGGAGTACTTGTTTAAACTCTAATCATGCTTTAGTATATGCTAAGCTCATCTTGCGTTTTGGTGGTTATTGAAACCGTCGTCCTAAACAGGTCAATGCAAGCAAATTAGTTGCACCGAACATAACAGCTAAATATCCCAGTTCGAGGTATATTCAAGGCAAGCTGATAAACCTCTAGATAGTGTAGATGAGCATTGAATGCACCTGCAAGACGCCATGAAAATGGCAAGTAAAGCCACTTGCAGCTTGGAAGAACGTCCCGCCAATAAACAGAGGGTATGTGTGAGTTCCTTGCGACTTCTTGAAGCCCGTGGGACCATTCCATCGGATAGTGATCACAATGGTTCACGTAAGAGACTTGCGTGAAAGATTACACAACGCTTACACAGGTTTGGTGATCAGAACGTGCGAGTGAGATGGAAGTAGCAGCTGGATCGGACAATAGTCGGAAGCTATAACCGCTCATCCGACTCACTGGCAGCAAAAAGCCTAGTGCCAGTGAGACGGTGTACTGATAAACAATCTTCAAACGTGGAGCAGGTCAAAAAAACAGTTTAGCTGATCTACTGCTGCAGTATCTTCAATTTCAGTGTGTCGTGTTCCTTGATCGGTTAACACTGACTGACAAACTGATGAAATCAACGTAGGACCTCGCACACAAGTGCATCAGTTCACATAGCCACACCTCACAGTAGTATACAAAAAATGGGTGGATAGAAAAAGGGTGAAATCAATGTAGGCAAAGTTGTGTGAGAATAAAAAAATTGAAGATAAAGGATAGTGGTATTATTCAAGCTTTAGAAGACGTCAAGGAGTGAATACATCTGCGCTATTGTGACCTATTTTTATTCATACCACCAAGAGTTCTCACCCACTAATTCTTGTCGGTTCGGAGACCCCAGCCAGACAGTCTACACTCCCTATACGGGTCAGACCAGAACTGATAGAACTGATATTTTGTGTTGTTTAATAAGTGGTTCTATATATTGTTCTCTGTTTTTTTCCAGGCAAAACTGCATTTGAAAAACGCAAGAAAAGAAAAGGCGATCTACGTCAGCGAGACAGTAATTGGGATCCAACAAGTGAAGAATACACAGGCCCATGGGCTAAATATAAAGATGAAGAATCTGTTTCAGTGCCTTCTGAAGAGGATCGTGTCTATTTAGAGGCCTATTTATCAAAGAAAGCTAGCAAACGTCGAGTGGTTGAAGAGGCTCCAGTTGAAGAAAAATCTACGCTACATATACCAACTCCTTTCGACTATCAAGTAAGTGCTCAGCTGATTCTCCTTTTTTCCGAATTATTATGTATTTACTTTTTATCTCTGGTTCATATCCGGACATTTTAGGGATTTTAGTGTGGTTTAGACTATCCGCAAGACTATCATTCTCTTTATTTACCAGGGAATTAATTTTCAGGATTTGGTTGGCAATTCCTTCTGAATCTTTGACGAGTAGGCGAAATTTGATCTGGATGCCTACATTGTGTCTATCAGTCTTCATGTTGTCGTAATAGTTGACCACCTGCAACGATTCCTGGCGCCAGTGTATGATCGGCATATGGGAGAAACCCATGGGGGATGACATAATACAGAACATATTTTAGTCATCGATATCAATGTTAAATCAAACCTTCACTTTTTGAATAACGATTGACTTACCTAAATATGCTGCTTAACTTGGCTATCAATTTTCTGTAGTTTCCACTGAATGACGGCTGTAATGTAACGGAGGAAATGTTGGTGCAGATAGGAACGATATGGGGCACATCAGTTTCATGCTCTACGGCATCATGAAATGCGAACGTTGAGTGCGAAAAATATACTACGCCTACACATTTTCAAGTACCAGCACTTTAGAAGTACTGTCTTGCTGAGCTGGCGACGGTAGCGTTATGCGTGGTGTCTAAAACTCAGAAAGTAAGTCATTCGATAAGGTAGTTAGTCTGTATGTAGAATGGTGTGGTATGATGGTCAAAGTAGGAGGTTGTAAGCAACTGTAAGGTGGTCAAAGCGAAGACACAAGACCAATCGATTATGAATCTGACTGTTCGCCAAAGCCTGAAGGTTCTTAGTTTGATCGAGGATGCATGCTGCTAAGGAGCCCCATACTAGGACTAAACAGCTGTTGAATGCTCCGTGAATTTCAATGTTTCTCCAACTGATGTCATTGCTTGATGAATACTACCTTAAAAAAAGAAAGAGGTGATATGACTTGAAAAGAATTTGAAAAGTACCAATATGGTCCAAAACGAACATGTTATTGATTTTCTTTGTTATTTTGTGTTTGAATGATGAATAGGGTCGAAGCTTCTTGCATGCGCCACATGATATTCCAAATGTAAATCTTCGAGCAACTGATCCACCAGAACGTTGCTTTTTGCCTAAGAAACAAATCCATGAATGGATTAATGCACATGCTCGTGGTGTTGCCGCTGTTCGTTTATTTCCTCAAACAGGTCATTTAATGATGTCTGCAGGAATGGATTCAAAGATAAAGGTAAGCATTATGCACGTGTATTATCACCATTTGCTACTATTATTCTATTGCTTATCATCCTACCTGGGATAGTGAGTGTGAGAGAGATAGAGGGGGAGGGGAGAGGGAAGAAGGGAGAGAGAGTGTGTAGGCTTCTGTTTACTCTCTTCAGTGTTTGCTGCTTCCAGGTCTGTAGTCTGATACTGTATAACATATGACTGTAGCATACTGTATTTCACCTTTGTAAGTTGTCAGGATTGATTGACTTAGAGCGTGTCTTCTACATAGACTGTTATCGTTGAACTTTTATGCCGTATTCTCCTTTAAAGAGTCATGTACGTTGGCGGTGCTCCTTACTTAAGGTTTAGTATTTTTACTGATGTACAATCGTCTCAATTTTTAAGTTACTATTTTCTCCTAAACTCTGAAAGTGTCAGTATATGTGTCTAGTTGAAGGTGGAATTCGTCATTTATTGATGAGTTCGCGCTGTTCCCTCTCATATTAATCCAAAAAGTTTGCACAGTATGAGTGATAACTGCCAGTCGTACAGAAGTGTGATCTCTGTTTTGTACAGGCTACAATAACTCTAATTTATGTCTGGACTAGCTTTTACGACTTCACCTTAATTCTTTCTGTCCTTTTGTCTTCTTTTGTGGAGTTATGGCTCATTGGCTTATGCAGTTGACCTTGAACTAATGGGTCACAGGTTCAAATCCTACTCCACCTACCGAAGTGGTTTGGGCAACCAGATAGTAACATTAATCCGCACACGGTAGGTGTAACTCATTGCTCACTACATGGATGTGCACAAGGTTGCTGAGTGCATTTTGATTTCATCTTTTTCTTACTTGTCTTGTCTCACCATGCTCTATCGACTGCGAAGACGATGCAGCAGATCACGAATGGGTTAGTCTAATTCACTTAGTTCTATTCATGTTGTCTTATAGACTAAGGAGAATCTCATCCCTGATGATTCACAAAACTTCGGTGATTCGGTTAAAGCAGTTGGCAACTTTTGCCCGGATGACATGCGAAAGGCGTTAGATTGAAAGCTTTACTACATTTCATCAGCAAAGATTGAATGAATATGCAGCATCATCATGTATAGTGTCTCAGGAGCCTAGGAAGGTGAAGTCATTATCAATGCCAGCGAAAAAAGTAAGCTTCAAAAGTGTTAGCAACACAGTCGGTTGAAAAAATGACCTTGATGAAATATCTGTCCAAAATCGTATAAGACGAATAGTAAGAAATAATGAGTTATAGCTTATAGTTTCTCATCTTTGCGGCCTAACAAACCTGGCATGTTTCCAGGACAGCTAGGCATCACCGGCCAATAGACTGGCGCGCATACATGAAAACGCTTTGCACAACAGGTCATAGACTCCTATCAACGGAGAAGGTTCTAAAATCCCACGTATCTACCCTCACCTCCTTCGCAGAGACAGCAGGGATTGCCTGACCTCTGTTATCCAGCTAAAACCGACCGTATCTCATTCGTATCACTCAACTAATACCACTTCGCTTCCACCGCAGTTAAATGGTGACACCCAAGCATTTCAGCCCTTACTACCCGCGTGGTGGTAGTGAACCACGGACCAGGTCCAGGAGTTAATCAGTGACTGCTTTCGAAGACCCATTCCGAAGCCAGGGGGCATGATTCACGCTTCATTGTTTTGGGCTTTCAATAGCCACTGCTGGTGCAGTCACCAGGGTGGATCTCATCATTGACCTGTAACTTATACCAGAGACATAGGCAAGCACACCAGTCCTAATAGAATATCACTCGGGATGAGACAGCAGGCATGTAGCTTACAGCCTTCATCATACTTCGCATTTATCATGAAATGCGCATTTTGTTTGTCTGTCTGCCTATCTCCCATATCTGTGCTCCTTAAATCGTGTTATAATCAAATCGTGTTAGGATAACACTGAAGCGCAATTAAGGTAGATTTACCTAGTGAACACACATTGGGCAGTACACAGACAAACTAGGATAACTCAACCCGCCAAAAATACTTATTCTCGCTTGTATTTTATTTCATGAATGCCTGCTCTAACTCTTAGATACTAACTTCTAAATTTAATTTTCAAAATAGCAACTTCCAAAGTTCATTTGATAAGGTGTAATTTCTCCAGTTAAGAGCTCCATTGATCAAGAGGTTTTATGACAGTTTCTCTCACTTCCTAAAGGGTTTCCGGGTAAATATGTCACCCTGTTGAAGACTCTTTGGTCTGTCACTTATCAGTTGAGTTGTGTGCATCCAGTGATGTCCGTCAAGGATATCCACTCTTCATTCCCACTTAATTTTGTCATAGATGTATTTATGGAGGTTCCCCTCTCGTCGTCTGACTTTACAGGGATGGATCGTGTCGCAGGAGACTCATTGGGAGATCTAGAAAATGCAGATGACACATTTCTGGTAGGTAAAGACATCAACAATATGCAGTCTTCTGGGCAGTGAGTGGCAATTTAATGATGTTTGGGATGCGTTCCTCGCCCTGGATTGGTCTTCAGCAGTGCCCTGGTTAACAGTAGAGAGTGAATTGGTTGAGTGCGTCGAACATTTCACTTGCCTGGGAAGTAGGATCAACCCTAATGAATCAGTGGCCGAAGAAATCGTTGCACCGATACAAAAAGCTCGACTGGCTTTCGTTAATTTCTGCCATCTGTGGCGCCGCCACGATATCCGATTGTCTATTAAGAGTCGAGTTTATTGTGCTGCAGTTCACTTTCTTCTACTGTATGACTGTGAAACATGACCATTGAAGGTAGAAGACATGAGAAGGCTTCTTGTTTTTGGCCATCATTACCTTCGTAGGATAGGCTGTGTTTCGTTGTGTCACCATGTGAGTAACTAGAAGTCAGATGTAGAGTTTAAGGGAGAGAGGAGAGGAAATTCAGTTGATGAGGTTGTGAATTTTCATGAAGTGAGATGACTGGGACATGTGTTACATGTGCCTAGTCACTGTCTACCTCGTCGCACAATGTTTTTTGAAGCAGATCCAAACTGGGAAAAGGTTGGAGATGGGCAGACTAAAACGTGGGATCGTCGTATGAAATCCTTGATTGTTGGTCTGAGCCGTGTAGGGACTACCCGATTGAGGTCCGCTTGACAAAAGAAACGAATGGTTGCAGATTCTAAACGATATGAAAAGTTGGACTGTAACGCAATAATACCACATTCCCTGTTGTTGCTGACTGATTTATTAACTATGAAGCGTATTCCTAAATCATAAGCAAGCATCTCCTTCTATCATTGCAGTAAGTTTCTTATCGAGTTTCTGGATTAGTTCACGCGTTTATAAAAAGAATCTAAAAAAGTGAAATTCCTACCATATTTTTGATTGGATTGTCGTTAGGACAGTTTACTGTTTACTGTCTGTCTATCAACGGTAATTGTGCTTTTTCAGTTAGGCGTTTTTGAGTATGCATAAAAGGACGAGTGACTCTAATAGTAGTGACCTCAGTAGTTTACTGTTGTACCCGATTAATTTTAGCTGGAGAAAGTAGCGTTTTGCAGAATCTAGAAACCCAGTTGGTCACGTCACTGGTTGTTGGGGGTGTTCGTCAAAATTACTAGAGGGGGCAGCTTATTACATTGATTAACCACTGGAGGGTAACCAATTTCATCTACTCCTGAGTTCTGATCGAATTTGACCAAGCTAGGAGACTCACCGTTGCGGTGCACATTAATAGATGTTAGTTGGTTGGAGGTAATCGGTGGGAAGTCCTGAACGTAGGCTTCATGCCTGTTGGCACTTGTCAACAAGGTGTATCTGTGGCCTCGGAATAACTGATGCCTCTTGTGAGATTCAAACCCGAAACACCCAATGTTGCAGTCAGCCATGTCAACACTGAGCTATTTGGGCCACGAATAAACTCCTGTGGGTCTGGATGAGATGCATTAGAGATAATCTGTTACTCTTCAGTGACCAACCATTGTATCAAATGCAGTCCTACAGAAGGTCAATCGTGACCCGAGTAGTTCAGTGGTAGCACCATTGACCACAACACTGGATGATATGATTTCCAATCCCATAGGGGAAAGCAGTTCCTTCAAAGTTGCAGATATTCATTGCTACTGACGAGTGCCAACTATCTCGAAACCTAGGTCAGGCAGGGCCCCCTGCCGCTTCCCCCTTTCCCTTAATCAACTAACAAAGTAGTTTATTACTCAGTAATTAACAATAAAACCTGATAGAGAGTGGGAAGTGAGTAAAAGTACGCTCATTATTCTTCATTGGTTCCTGCAAAATCATTTCGAAAGGAAAACTGTGGAGGATATCTTCTTCGTGTGAAGAGAAATGGTGGTAATTTGTTGACGTGTGTCGACCGCTTTATTTTACCACGTGTAACATTTCAACGTTGTCCTGTTATTTGGTGGGATGTGGTGCAATTTACCCGATAGAAGTGATTTCGGTGATTATGATGATATCTTTTCATCTCATGAATGTTGTCATGGCTTATTTACTTTTGTATAAATCACAATCACTCTTGCTTTCATTTTATATTCATCAAATTTAGTTATGGGAGTTGTACAAAGAGCGTAGACTTATTCGAAGTTATATGGGTCATCGGCAAGCAGTGCGTGATGTCTGCTTTAACAATAATGGTACTGCCTTTTTAAGTGCATCATATGATCGGTATGTGAAATTATGGGATACAGAGATTGGCAAGTGTACAAATCAATTCAATTTAAAGCGTGTTGCCTATTGCGTTCGTTTCAATCCAGACGAGGATAAACAACATCTCTTCTTAGCTGGTTGTTCTGATAAAAAGATATTATGTGTAAGTGACAATCTGTATGTATGCTTGTGTATGCTTCCCTACTGTATTACTATTTAATTCATTAATTATTACTATTATTATTATTATTTTTATCATAATTGTAATCGTTGTTTAGAATGAAAAATGGTTTTATTAAAATCTGTAGTGTATTTGCAAGATGTCACGATGTTATTCTGACCCTGAAACGTCAGGTTTACAACGCTTTGGTGCGAACAGTTCTGTTGTACGCCTACGAAACATGGCCTCTACGAGCTGATGTGCGACCACTATGTGTGTCCGATCATCGTTGTGTCTGTAGGATTGCTCGAACCCGGTGGCAACACCATGTAAGTAGTAACTCGGTGGTACGACAACGTGTGTTTGGGCATGGTAGAGACCGTCATTCAACAAGTGAAGTTACCCGGAAACACTGGGTCTTGTGGCTTGGATACGTGTTACGCATATCGTCCCAAGGACTTCCATGCCATTCATTGTTTGCTAACCCTTGAGCTGGATGGAAGAAGCGGGGGGGAGTGGTCAGTGTATGATGTGGCGCCGTAGGATGAAGGATAGTTGTATCGGGCTAGCATCTGTTGGTGCATCACGACTGTCTGGTTGGGGTCCGAGAGATCACACAACTCAGTGGTTTAAGATGTTATTAGATATGACTCAGAATAGAAACCAGTGGCGGTCATGCTGTAGCTTTCTCCTGTTTTCTACTGCTAAAAAGTAATGAGTATTTCGTTTCGAATATACCTTAATAGACTGTCCTTCTAATCATTCTATTCTTATTGTTATACTTTTATCTACTTCCCTTCACTTTATGTCTTCATAATGTTGTTATGCCATTTTGTGTGGCGCTTTTCTTGATGCCCTTGCTGTACTATGTCTGTGTTCTTATGCTAATAAAATAATTGGCAGTTAAATTGTCCTCACCATGTATTTAAGGTTTACCAGTTTTAAGGTGTGAAGTCAACCAATCAATGAAATATGGGAAATAAACGATCTAATGTTTTCATCAAATCGGCCTGCTGAATGAACACTACTGATTTATTGCAACTGGTTTCGCCTACTACTAATACTGGTCAGTAGTATATATAGTGCAAACGAGTTCTCTGTCTCTGTCTGTCGTTTATTGTTAGTCATGCAATGTTCAGGAAACATGCCACTTTCTACTTGGAAATAGACTACTGTTTTTAATTGTTTGGGATTTCGGTTTTTTGCATTCGTATCCGACTGTAAACCCATTTTACATGCATCGACATGCTGCGGAGTGATAGAAGTGTGTCAATTTGGGGACCGACCCTTTCCACCTCGCCCCTTCTCACTAGGAAGTCTGCATCAGGGTTGCACTGTTGGTCATCCAAAGGAGATACGTTATTGCTGCCACACTCCCGTCCTGTCAGACCGCCACCATAAAGTAGCAGTTCATACTATAGTGGTAACTGCTTTTAGTCTTACCACCATCCACCTGACCTTTCTGGTCTGGTAAGGAGTGAGGCGAACAAGCTTTCTAGCCAGTGTGGCTCGTTGGTTCATTGTGGTATGCAAGCCCGATCACCATGTCAAGGTGGGAGCTATCGGTCAGGTGGTTTCACTGGTGTGCGTATTCTGTTAAGTCTTGGTGTTCTCAAGGCTAATCGCATTGAATCGACTAGTCAACGTTACGTAACGAGTAACTGAGCTTTACTAACACTTGGTATATGCCTCCTTTTCACTCCCTAGATTGAGTGGTCAGGTTAATCCTTCGAAAAGGGTATCGACCTGAGTTCCTCTCGTTGCTTTTAAACTCCATTCTTTCCTACTTTTATCTCAAAATTTGTTTTGGCAGATAAGTATTTACTGTTTCTATCCTTATCACAAAATTTCCTTAATTCTAATACTTGTGTGAAGTGCTGGCATGACGTTGGTTAACAACATGGTTATCTGTATCCAATACTATGTTCAATTCTGTAACCATCTAGTCCGCTTGCTTCTTAAGTTGTTGTTGGTAGGGAACAAATCTCTGTTAATTACCATTTGGGATATTTTGTTTTCTGCTTGGTAACTAGTAATAGAATCTAGGACGTACATTTCTCCCTATTTACGACTCGTCAGCTGGATGTATCTGTACCGCAATGGGTGGTGTTGTTCCCACCTAGACTCGAAGTCAGCACCCATGGCCTCAAACTCCAAGACGTCCACTAAGCCACTGGAGCATTGGAGGCACCTGTTACGCAACGGGTATCGGATGTTGTTATTGTTGGATACTTGTGATCTCCTCCTATTATTCTGGGTTGAATAGCTCGACCTCTGTAGACCAGTGGGATAATTGATAAAGGTGTCTAAACCTATTGGATTTCTTATTAAAACATACAAAGAATAACTTACAACGACCTTATTGTATACAGCCTTTGAGAAGCTATTGTATATACTGCGTATACGTGCAACTTCGTCTGTTGGTTTGATTGTTGTTGGTTTTACAACTCCCTTTGAGTTAGAGGAGTCTGTTTCGAACCTGAAACAATGTGAAGCAGCAGCACTTGACAGTTTGTCACTGGAAGCTTCAAAGGATTGAGGCAGAAACTTACTGAGTAGAGGAACTAAGGTACAAGTTAGTGAATGCGAATCAAAGATAGTCCTATCAGATATCGGTTTAAGTCGCTAATCATTTCAGTTTACAAGATAGGCGAGAAGTTTACACGTGATAGTCAGAGAGGAAAGACTAATTTGACTAGTATCGTATCTTGGGATCCTTAGTTATCCGATTACTACTGGGAGCTCAAGAACGGCACACTTAAAAAGACCAAGTAAGTTTCAGAACTGGATGCAAGAGTGCATCAACCAAATCTTCACTCTTTGACAGATCTTCGAACAGTCATAATTACCGGCGCCCCCCTACCCTTATCACATTTCATAACCTGGAGATAATATTCAACTTTGTTGACCGAGATGTGTTGAGACGGCTTCTGATTGTGAAGGAAGCGCTTAGAAAGTCTGGAGAGTTCTCGTCTGGGGGTGATGACAACTAGTGGTATCCAGTGAGTATATTCACTGTCATCATTCCTATTTAACTTTGTTATAGACGTGCTAATGGACCAAACTCTGGGTACCTCTGACTTAGTATGGTTTAACTTTCAGCAAAACATCTGGTTGACCTAGAGTGTGCAAATGACGTAGTTGTGTTGGGCGAAAACGTTGACAAAAAGCTCAGTTTTATGAATACCTTAAACTAAAATTTGAGTTTGTTTGGCATGTGTGTTACGCCTGTCAGCCACAAGATAATGCTTGAGGTCTGGTCGGCACCTCTTCCCAATTTAGCATGAAAAGTTAGAGTGGGTTAGCTGTTGACAAAATCTCAGCTCAAATACCAAAGGCCTGTTCGTCATTTGCCAATTAATAATCTCTGGCTCCGGGCGGAAATGTTTTCGTAGCATTGCTTACGTATGTTGGAATCACCGTTTAAATAATGTCGAAATTAGGAGAGAGCTTCTTCGTGAGGCAAGCGAGTTAGGTGGTGAGGTTGTTAACCTTCATTGCCAGGGATCACTTAAATACACGTTGGTCTTTGCGAAGTACCACCACTTCTTCAGTGTACCGCGTCAGCTGAAATAGGGTTGGGGGCGGAAGAAGGCTAAGGCTAAATCATAGCACTAGTCAGTGAAGTCTTTTATTATTGTTCTCAGTCGTTTACGGAGGTGTGAAATGCCCCACTGGGATCCTCAAGACGATAAAAATCAATAGTTGGAGAACCTTGGTGGTATTGTAAGAAACGAGAAGACCGAGAGGCAAGATTGAGTGTTTATTATGACATCTTGTATAGTAGTGATGAAATATTGTACACTTTCGATTAAAATAGCCATTTGCCTCCATCTTGACTTGCTCTTAATACTCTCAGATTGTCTCTTGCGTTCCTCTGAGTAGAATATTTACCCATTGCTGGTAATTGTCTATGATTTCTGCGGACCTCTCAACGTTTACTACGTATATTCATTCCTATCAGTAGCCTCCACTACAGTATGGCTCAAAATAAGCCACAATGGTAGAGGTATACTTTCAATCTTTGAAGTTTTCAAAGTTCTGGATGTTTTCATAAATCTTCATTTATTTCCACTCTCCCTTCACAAACACGTTTGTCAACCTTACCATGATTCTTTTTCCATCCACTTTTTGTTTGCATACTGCTGTGAAGTGTGACGATTTGGACTAATGTCCTTAGGTGATTGATGGCTGAATTTTTTTTGCCTGATTGTTTATTTTTATCATTAACTCGAATAAAATATCCACTAAAGTTTTCTTTATCTTGTTGTTGTTTTTGTCAAAAAAACAAACATAACAGTATGATACACGTAGTGGTGAAGTTGTTCAACAGTACGATCGTCATTTAGGCGCTGTTAATGCAGTAGCATTTGTTGATAATAATCGAAGATTTGTTTCAACATCAGATGATAAATCTTTACGTGTTTGGGAATGGGATATACCAGTCGACTTTAAATATCTTGCTGATCCATCTTTGCATTCAATGCCAGCGGTTACGGTTTCACCCAACGGTATGTTACTTGTAATGCTCTGTTCTAAATCATTTATGTTTTTTAGTTGTTATTTTTCAAATGATACTATTACTTTACTAATATGACGATGTTATATTTTGGTTGGCTTTTTGCTTTTAGCTCATGTTCATACAATCGACTGTCTACTCATGTATCCTGTAGTCAGATTTATTTCCACCTATTGAGGGCCCGTGTTTCTCAACCCCCCCCCCCCGCCCCACACGCACAACAAGTACCATTCACAACGTGGCATGCGAATGTGAACTTGGTTACTACTACTTAGTTGTATTGCTAGTAGTATCATTATTATAGAGTTTTGTATGGTATTGACTTTCATCCTACTGCACACGTTTTCAGCAATTTTGAAGTTGCAGAGAGAAAAAAAGAGTTTGAAAATACTCTTTTAAAATAATTTTCTCTCGTTATAAAGTGTTTTTCCTCTAATTTTGATCAATGATGAATGCTACCTTAATACCAATCACGCCTCATAAATCACTAAATGTAACTGTTAATTGCTGTGGTTGTCCTTACTATATATCGTTAGAACTAAGCCATGGTGAGCGAGACGTACAAAAAACAGTCTAGTAGCTTTCAGAAAAGTGTATTACTTTGAGCCATCATGTATTTTATTATCATAGGCGGTAAAAGAAACTGGTATTCGTTAGAATATAAAACATGAAGCGTGATTTCACCCATCTCATTGTAGTCATACCAGCTAAATCCTATAGTGTTGCACATATTCTATGGAGTATCTCATTTACTAGATGGCGTTTTGAGCGTAATTTATTGCTCATAATCCATATCATGATAATGACACAACTTTTTGGTGGGGTTTCATGGTCCTACTGCTTTTTACTCTTTGTTTTTTATGATTCGAAAGTTTCATATGTATATTTGGAATCGAGATTAAACCTCTTCTTCTGTATATCTTAGGCGTTGAATCGATGAGCAGAGATTTAGAGATCAACCTCTTTTTCTCTACTTTGCTATATTAGGGTCTGTTCCACCCACTCCATCACTTGATTATGTTGATGAATACTTGCCAACTGGCTGAGTTACGTTCTGGATTTCTCACCTTCGTCGGGGTCTATGCTTCTAAATTCTAAGCTGAATTCTTTTGCTCTGTTAACTATACTGACCTCGAATGACTAGTTTGACTTGTATACATGATCTCACAGTCATTGCACAGTGTTTCGCAAACTCAGTAGTCTCGTTTCAAAGGTCAACAGAGTCCTTAAGCCAACAAAATTTGCATCTAATCCCAGTTTTATTAAAATTCCTTGACAGAGCTTATAGTGTGTACCTTCTTTATGTGGAAACACAATAGGGGGGCCTTGAACTCCCTAGTGGTCTTATGGCAGTCGTTGGTGACACTACTAATTTTCTTTATTTATGAAATCTTATGATTTTTTAAGTAAATTTATGAGCTATTCAGTAGTAATGTTCTTCTTATTTGTTTGATTATTTCGTTCAGATTTTTTTTCCATACTTACTAGTTTTGCCTTCACTGGTATGTTGTGAGATGGTTTAAAGTCTAAATATATGCTATCGTGTGATGTCTTTTCCTGAATCGAAGTATCTAAACCACCGTTTTATCTCCGTTGTTTTTCAATCTAGCATAAATAATTCTCATTATTCATTTCTCAACTTGTAAGTAGTATGAATCACGTCTAACACACAATAAAGCTTTATAAATCCTATATGATTAATGTTGGTTGTAAGAATTAACAGAGAAGATTGTCAATTCGCTGAAGTGTGACATCTAATCATGGAGATTTGATGGTCATGCTTAGTGAAATTCACAAGAATATTAGCCTCATTTCGTGTAGCATAACACTTCAGTATTATCCCAATATGTTTCGATTATAACACGCCTTAGGTGCACAGATATAGGAGATAGGCAGACAGACAGACGAAATCTATTTAGAACCTCCCACATAGGTACATTGGCTCAAATTGTCACATAAGTTCACAGTAGTACACAAAAAATAGCGAATATAAAATGACTGATATCAAAGTAAACAAAATTGTGTGAAAAAACGAGCAGTTTTGAGATAAAGGTTAGTACGAATACTCGAATTTTAGAAGATGCCAAAGAGTAAATACATCTATGCCACTGTCCCCGATTTTCAACCATATTACTGAGAACCAGTCCTCAACCACTGATTCGTTTTCATCCCGGGGACCACAACCAGCTAGTCTACATCTCCCCACACAACTCATATCAAGAGTCAGTGACTTCATCGACTGGTGCCAAGTCTTGTTTTGACCACGCTGAACCCTCTTCTAACCTAACCCAACTTCACCTAGCATGGCACTTCAAGGTAGGCAGTGACTCGGCAGGTGGAGTACATATCTAAGCCATTTTAATTGACTAAGGTTCACAACCTCATTAATCAACTTGCCTATTACTCTTTACCTGACCTCAACATTGTTCATATGGTGATATTCCACCAAACGCTTCAATGCTACGAAGACATTTGTGATCGAAACCCTGCAACCGCTTCATATCTCCTACTTTTAACAGTGATTTCTCATAGTTATATATCTGCAAAGAACTGACTGCAACGTGGTATACTCGTCCTTTAATGGATAATCGGATAGTTAGCCAGTTAGTATCAAAAATAACACAAGTTGGCAAATTCCAAACGAGCTTTCTGTATTCGAGCTGAGATTTCGTCAACAACCACCTGGTTTTCATACATTATAGTCACGTTATCAAAATTTAGTGCGCGCGCGCGAGAGAGAAACAAACAGTCACCGAACGGTGCTCCTGTCATTTTCTTCAGTTTTATCATACCGCTGTACGTTTTAAGCTGGACATAACAAGAGTTGAAAATCATGAAGGTAGTTTATATTTTCAAGTATTTGACTCAGCAGACATGTGATCATGTTTTTTTTCTTTAAAAGTGATAAAAAAACTTGTGTTTTCAACTTTTCAGGGAAATATTTAATATGTCAATCACTTGACAATCAGTTGGTTGTTTTCAATATATTTGCTGGTTTCAAACGTATGCGAAAAAAGATATTTCGTGGTCATATGGTGTCTGGTTATGCGTGTACAATGGATATGTCACCAGATATGCGTTATGTTATCTCTGGTGATGGTGATGGTTACTTATGCCTATGGGAGTGGAAGACAACACGACTTCTAACCAAGTGGAAAGCTCACGAAGGTGTATGCATAAATTGTGCTTGGCTACCGCATGAAACCTCAAAAGTGATAACTGCTGGTTGGGATGGAAATATTCGTCTTTGGGATTGATTTTGAATGTCTCACTGTTTTTGTTATTACACCCGAAAAGTGATATCACAACGTCGAGAGCAGTGTGTATATGTATATATATTTCTTTCTGAGCATTTGTATCATTGAAAAATCTCTTTTACTTCTGTCTTTTTATTCATCGTAATACATACTGCTTTGGTTAATGGAATAATTTTGACCATCTGAGATAGCCGTCGTCTGGCAGACTAGTATTGATGGTAGGTGATGATTAAAGGTGAAATGGAAATTTGAACTGTGGAGAAATTCGAACAAGCTACGAGGTCTTTTGTTATTTTTGTGGACGGCGACTGTACCTCAGTTGGTAGAGTATCAGACAGGAAATCCGGTGGTCGCTGGTTTGAATCTTGCCGTGGTGCGAATTTTCATTTCCATTTCAATCATCACCTAGCATAATATTGCTGAGTATAGTCACTTTTGGATATGTTGCACAGAAGTGAATCATTTCCAGTTGTCATATTTTTCAACAGCCTGCTGAGAAGTGGAAACAGGCTTTGATACATATTGTGGTAGTTTTAAGAGATGATATGATTATTTTGACTAGTCATATCAAAGTAACTGGTACGTGTACCAATTGATGGTTGATGTGATAACTTGGTCACTCAGTTGATATTTCTACAGCGAAAAGGAAGTTTTCCTTCCTAAGACAAGCCCTCGAAGGTGGTGATTTTGCTGAGGGAATTAGTAAAACAATTACGTATATACTGGTTTAACCAGAACCTTCGTTTTGTAGTAGAATGAGTCTCTGGTGGGGAGTTTGAATAACACCTACACCTAAACTGAGCAACCAGTAGCGCTGCCAGAAGAATAACCTAGACTATTGTTTTGCTTACTGCGTTCACAATTTCATTTAGATGCCTTTCATCAATTTTGTCATTACAAAGGTTTTTTTGGGTAAAGTAAGCCGTGTTCTTGAGGTGAAAACAAGACTATTCGTGTTCAGGATATATTCGTCACACATTGAAATGTTAGCCAGGAAAGAACTTGCTGTGCTAAAATTGCTTGAAGTTGACTTCACGACTGAAACTAGAAGTGTTAAACAGCTCATATTTTGTGGGATGAAACTTCATTTTCGAGGTATACTCCTCATGAATGATATATTTTCTTTGATATCATCGACTTAGTCGCTGGGCTGAACCTAAATCCAATAAAAGAATTCTTAGGAAAGCCTGCAGAATAGAATCTGGTTGGTACGTGGCTATTAAAATGAAACTGGAAACTGCCCGCTTATCACATACATACATGAGAATTGGCTTAAATTTTTCATTTGAACACTAATGATAAACTGAGAAACGTTTACATTATTTTTAAATATTTACCACACGGAAAGGTTTTTTTATTTTTCCACCTTATATTAATGCACTTATCATCGTTGAAATGGGTTTTTTAAACTTGTGGTACAGGTATTGATTGTTTTAAGGTCCTTGGTTGGTTGATGTTATGTCACAGACGTTTTCACAGAGGTCCTCCTCTCGTCATCTGATACCATAGGCATTGATCTTATCATAAAAGTATTTTTGGTAGATCCCGAGTACACATGATATAGTTCTGCTAAGTAAAGACACTGATAAGATACAGGGTCTTCCGTTTTGGATGGGTTTCTCGACACTGAAAGGCAAATTGTTGCTCCAGAACTAATCTTCAGTGAATAACCTGGTTAACAGTAGAGAGTGTAGTGGTTGGTTGCGTTAACATCACTTACTCAGGAAGTCGGACTAGCTCTGATGTGTTAGTGACACACGAGATCTTTACAGGGATACAAAGAGCTCGATTGGCTTTTGCCAACTTACACAATCTGTGGCGCCACCGTGATAGCCGATTGCTTATTGAGGGTCAATTGTACTGTGCTTTACTTCTCTTTGTCCTACTGTATGACTGTGAAACATGACCATTGAAGGTAGAAGACATGAGAAGGCTTCTTGTTTTTGGCCATCATTACCTTCGTAGGATAGGCTGTGTTTCGTTGTGTCACCATGTGAGTAACTAGAAGTCAGATGTAGAGTTTAAGGGAGAGAGGAGAGGAAATTCAGTTGATGAGGTTGTGAATTTTCATGAAGTGAGATGACTGGGACATGTGTTACATGTGCCTAGTCACTGTCTACCTCGTCGCACAATGTTTTTTGAAGCAGATCCAAACTGGGAAAAGGTTGGAGATGGGCAGACTAAAACGTGGGATCGTCGTATGAAATCTTTGACTGTTGGTTTGAGCTAAATGACAGATGAAACCAGAGGTAGGATGCTGTAATTAACGTGGTTCAGAATCGATCTCGATTGGGCAGATGTATCCAGACTTTATCTTCATCGTAACTGCTATACTGAACTCAGTATTTTCTCATTCTCCTTTCCTCTCTTCTACTGGTTTCGACTGTTTTTTCTTTCTTTCTTCATCTAGCATCTTACTACTTTGTTACTTGATGTGCTGATTTGAGGTGTTGCAACCTGGAACATTGTGCAGTAATGCCTGGTTTTATGTTGCTATTGATAATGATGATGATGCCCGTGTAAAGAAACTAGACAGCACATCGATGTATCACGAGTCGTCATAATCGTCATCAGAAAGAATAGTTCAAATAAAATTCAGTTTTTATTGGATCTGTGTAGTTTTCACTTTCCACTCCCTATTTTCGAAACATGAATTTATGTGAAGGTAACCTCTGTGCATGTTTACTGGGATACGTCGATTGGTTATTTGTGTATCTCGATTGTATGCGGCTGATGAGGATCCACTGAAGTGAATTAGGTCAAGCTAGTCTTGCGGATGCTTATATACTCTCATCGTCCAGGTCCACTATTTATTATTATTATTATTTGTCCCTTGGGTTCCTAGTGGAACATAGGGCTTCAGTAGCACTCCTCCATTTCACTCTCTTTTCTGTAGTCCCTTCAACCTGGCTCCACGACTGTCCGCAAACTTTCATTTCTTCATCATACCATCTCCTCCATGTCACCCTCAACTCAGACGCCCAACTCGTCGTCTCACCTTTGGGTTCCACTCGAGGACCTGGTCTGATGTGTTATGTCCCCAAATGGTCTTCTCAGTGTATACCCAATCCATCTCCACTTCCTTCCGCATACTTGTTGGGCGTTAGGTTACTGGTTGGTTTTTTGCCAGTCAGTCAGCCAGAGTTCCTTGTCGCTTATTCTTTCCTGCCTTTTCTTTCCTTTTTCGCGTTCTATTTTAATCCCTTCTTACCTGGTGTGTTGATATGAGGTGTGGTAACTTTGACCGTTGTGGAGTATTGCCTGGTCCTATGTTGATGGTTACAGTAATTGAGACATGACTGTAACCTTCTTTCTCTAGATGTATCGATTCCATTATTGGTAAATATTCTAATAATTTTGCTTATCTTATTGTCCTTGTTTCTTCCTTGCCTTTCCTTTTTACCCGTATACACTTCGTAGTTGGAGACGATTCATGTGTTCTTAAATTCTCCGCTTTTATGAATCCCCTCATCTTACAGATTATTATGTAATTGTCCTCTCATAGTTTCTTTCTAGCCTCTAGTATTCTGCTATTACTACAGTCTTAACTCACTATTCAATAACTGACTGTTATTTGTTTCCAGTGGTTCTAAATTCAAGTGTGCAGCTTCAGTAGGTGATTCAGTTAGAAAGGCGCTTTATTCTTTTTCTGAACTGTCTTTCTTCCGTCTGGACAGAACGTTTTCCTTATTCATAGTTTAACTTCCGCTAAAAATCAGTTACACGGCAAATAACTTATAGTTTGCGAAGGCACTGGACTCTAAATTGGATCTTTTTCAGTTGTGCAGGTAAAGTAATGTAAGAATGGAAATGTAAAAGAATTCGACCACAGGAAACCCACATATGGTGAACGCCTAACAGATCTTCACCAAAAGTACTCTGGAGGTTCTACACTACAAACATAATATATGAAATAAGTCTCGATAAGCAGTGTGAAAGATTTTAACTGGTGGTTTGTTATGGGCAGTAATTTCGCTCGAAATAGAAACCAGTGATTTCCAGCTTGTTAAAAATGTAGTTTTAACATTTATACTACTAAAAATAAATGGTAGTGCAAATCATTAAGCAAAAAAGAGTGACAAGTAGCTAAGTTTTGATAACTTGGAAATTATTAGAATAACTTTCTGAATGTTGTTGACGATTTGATAGGAACTTTACTTCAAATCATCAACAGAGTAACTATACGTGATTAAAAATGGTAATTATAATGAGATGAAACAGGTTATTCTTAGGCAAATCGATTGGTTAGTGGTAAAGCAGATGGAGTGTTTTTTCTGCAGTGGTCAGTCTTAAACAATAAATAATTGCGTTGGAACAAGAAAGCAAATGAATATTGATGAAACAAAGAGGAAGTTGTGGCATAAAAAGTTATACTAACAGTTGCATTCTAAGTTTAGGTTTGTAAAGGTGGATTGCAATCGCTTCCGCTATGTGAAGTAGACGAATGCGTAATTCATGTAGTAAAAGAGCTGGTATACGTTGAAAAATGTTAAATACCTTCCTAGTATTCATTTGATATCCGGTGTTAACTAAGTGTGCAAGTATGGAGCCGTCTTTGTTCCCTTTTGTCACTTGTGTAGCCACCGTGCATGGTGCTCAGAAACTCAACAATGGACCTAGCTCACCATACATCCAATGTAACTATCTCCTCAGGAACGTTTGAACTGATAAATGAACATATGGTCGAATCAGACAGTCTGTCTTTTTAACAATACAAAAACATCTGCAGAATAAAATGATCTCATCTTATTTAATGGCCTTTCATCAGCTGCAATACACCTTGTGCTTTTGGAAGCAAGTACATAGGACGAAATGAAAGAAGGACGTCGGCTCGACCTTATGAACATATTCCGAGAAATCTGTCTAAATGGTAGCTAGGTCCTTAAAAGTGCAGGCGTCTGATGGAAACACAACATCCAATAGATGTCTCTCTATCCTTTAGGATAGCAGAACGTCAAGTTTATTGCCGCTTGCGAAAGCTCTCACTACCAAACATTTTCAATCTGACCTATGTACTCGGAAGTAGATTGTAATTAACCTTTCGTTACCTTGGTATATATATATATATATATATATATATATATATATATATATATATATATATATATATATATATATATATATAGTCTTTCATTTTCTTTTGATTGCATCATCTCTTCATTAATTACTTGCTGAATATTAATCATCTAATGATTTTCATGTAGTTACGTAATTTATTAGCGCTTAAATAGCCCCTTCTTGTACACTGATTTTCGTTTGTTGTCCTCCCACTCCACAGTTCCAGAATTTTCCATTTCATGAGATATAAATTTTCATCGGTTTTGACTAAGTTTTGTAATGATTATTCCTGTGTTTGCTTGACTCACCACCTTACTGTTTATCCTGGATTTCAAATCTCCATTTATTTCTGCCTGTTTAAGGTGTGTTATGTTATTATTACTACTAATATTTCATTTCAGTTGTATGCTGATAAAAGGCCATGAGGTCAAATGAGCTCAATTTATTCCACAAATATCTTTGTTCTTGAGTTGTTCAAATTTGTTTAGTGAACAAAATGTATGACAAGTCTGTCTTTTTTTCTGCGTGTAGAATCAAGCCGTTGTAGAAGATGAGACATAGTTTACCAACTAGGATTGCTCTTTGCAAGACTTTTCATGCGCTTTGTGGTGTTATCACTAACAAAATCACTGTTGAATTTCAGTTTCCAGAAGATTTGAACTTTAGGAAGTAGGTGAACTCTTCCTCTACAGTATCACCAAAACTAATGGCTATAACACTACAGGCTAGGCATTTCGTCAGATGACGCTTGTAATAGAGAGGTATAGGACTAAAGAAGTTCATGCCATTGTTGGTTTTCTATATATACTTCGTTTCAAAGTTCCATCCAACCTTCTAACAAGTAGAATATCAAGAATTGACAATGATATTTCTCTCCTCTTCGATTGTGAATTTGACTGACCTTAAGGACCAATTTTAATATCGCCTAGGTAACTAGTTCACTAGTTACTACCCGGTCCTAAGCCCGGATAAAATAGGAAGGTTGGGCATAGGGCTAGCAACCCTATCCCGTAAAACCAATCCAACCATTGAAGAAACTTCAAAGCTCAAAGTAAATATTAAACATAAAATTAAGCTTATTCGTCGGAGGAACCAGAAAGGCGAAATGATGTCGGTTGGTGAAAGCCTCCAGGAAGCCGACCGGCCGATGTATCTTCTCTCGATGAAACCAAAACTAAACATGGGGACATGGAATATTCGAACAATGTTTGAAGCTGGCTGACAAGACTGCCCAGATTGCCAAAGCAATGAGAAGTTATAGCATAGAAGTGTCAGGCTGGGAATCTGTGAAAGCAGATGGAATGGAAGTAGACTCTCCCAACTGCCAACTGGAGAATCAACAATCTACTCCGACACTGTCACCCCGACGACAACCACCAGAACAGTGAGTTTTGGAGTGGCTATCATGATGTCCCCAACAGTGTCGAAGGCTCTCATGCAGTGGGAAGAGATCCCCTCCTGCAGGATCATGACATCAAGGTTCAACTCAAAATGAAGGGAAGTCACAGTCATACAATGCTACGCTACACTATGCACCTACAAATAATACAGATGGAGAGAAGAAGGAGGAATTCTATAGACAACTGCAATCAGTAATGGATAAGATTCCAACCCAGTTGGCGACATCGAAATTCTAATCGGTGGGACGACATGAATGCCAAACTCGGAGCAGACAACACAGGGAGAGAACCAATCATGGGTTGAGAAGCACTCTGTGAAATGGACGAGAATGGAGAAGTGTTTGCAGACTTTTGCGCATTCAATGATTTGGTGATTGGAGACAGTGTGTACAAACACGAATATATTCACAAAGTGACATGGATTCGATTTCACCAGACACTAGAACACACTGGAAATCAGATCGACTTCATCTCAATGTGAAGAAAGAGGAGACGCGGTCTACTAGACACAAGTTCAAAAAGAGAAGATCAATGCGAGCACATGCAAGTTCGGATCACTCACTTTCTAGTGCAACGAACCTTCAGAATCAAGTTGAGAGCCTTCAGAGAAGTTGGTGATAGACCACAGTTGAAGTTCAACACGCAGAACGCAGAAATGAACTGAAGGAGGAAACTACAAAAGACATCTTCACGTGGTCAGTCATCAGAAGGAAATGGGAGATATTGGGCAACAGCCAAGAAGAAGCCTGTGTAGAAGAACACTGGAACTCTTTGAAAGCTATGTGGGGATAAACCGTGGAAATAACCGTATTAGGAAGGAAGGAGATAAGAAAAAGACAAGGAATGGACACATGGATGCGCATCATCATAAAACAGAGTATAGAATGGCAGTCAACTCAACTCTACCTCAATTTCATCGATTTTGAAAAGGTCTTCCTTCGACGGCGTCGACTGAGAAGTAATTTGACACCTGCTTCAACACTACGGTTTTATTGACATAAACCTTTATCAACCTCTTTAAATAGCAATATGCTATACATGGATGCTACATGCCAAGTGATTCACAATGGAAAGCTGTGACGCCTTTGAAGTGAAGACAGGTAGGAGTAAGGCAAGGGTGTCGCCTACTATCACCCATGATCCTCCTGATTGTGGTGGACTGGATTATGCGGCGAACCGTGAGGAGCGGGAAGAGGGGCATACGCTGGCTGGACCGATGAAAAAATCTCAGAAGATTTAGATTTCACCATTGCTGATCTACGTCTAATGTCGCACAAACTCGAACATCTGCAAACAAAAACCAGTGGGTTGACAGAAGAGGCAGCAGAGATGGGACTTCAAGTGAATGTGGAGAAGTCAGAGGTGATGAAGATACCTAACCAACAACAACAATAGCAACAACAAACACCAATCACCATCATCGGGCGAAATCTGAGCGGAGTAGTCTCTTTCACCTACCAACTAGGCAGCATCACGTCAACTACAGGTGGCGTTGGCGGCACAGATGAGGATGTCAAAGCCAGGATAGAAGAAGCGAGACAGGTCTTCATTAACCTGAAACCAATGTGGAGATCTACTGCACTCAGCACAAAAAACAAGATCCGAATTTTCAACACTAATTCAGTCAAGTCAGTGCTTCTATGTGATGGTTGAGAGACTTGGCGCGTTACGAAAATTATTTCCAACAAACTACACACATTCATGAATATCTGCCGCGTACGCTCAGTTGATAATGAAGATCCGATGAGAAGGCAGGAAAGAATAAGCGACAAGGAACTCTGGCTGGCTGACTGACTGGTAAGGAACCAACCAGTAACCTAACGCCCAACAAGTATGCGGAAGGAAGTGGAGATGGATTGGGTATACACTGAGAAGACCATTCGAGAACATAACACATCAGACCAGGTCCTCGAGTGGAACCCAAAGGTGAGACGACGAGTTGGGCGTCTGAGTTGAGGGTGACATGGAGGAGATGGTATGATGAAGAAATGAAAGTTTGTGGACAGTCGTGGAGCCAGGTTGAAGGGACTGCAGAAAAGAGTGCAAAGGAAGTATGCTTCTGAAACTGTATGTTTTACCAGGAACTCTGGGAGAATTAATATAAATTATATTAGGGATGAATCGCATTCAACTGTGTTATTTTGGCTTAGTTCTTGTTATAATTTTCAAAAATGGCGAGTTGAAAGGATCTTGAAAGTACGAGACAGTGCGTGTTTTGATCTGAAAATATGTTGGACGATTAAAACCATCTAAGAATTTGCAATTTAATGTAAGTTTCAAATCTGTATATTACACCACAAAGTTATTTTTTCCTCATTTATTGCTGATAATGAAATAATTCATAAAATTTATGAAGCAACCTGTTAATGGAAATTATTCTTTTTGTTAAAAAAGAGAGGGGAATAAAGAAAACACCATCGTTGTACTGAGCTAATGTAAACAAAATAACTTATTTGTTCGTTCATATTCATCAAGGACAATAAATCTCTTCACCAATCAGGATTGTGATAATTTTCTCCACCTCCGCCTATATTTGATTGGTTATTTTCCTTTAAATCAGTTGGCTGTTTATTTCAGTAAGTAAATAATTTATAATCCACGCTTAACAAGTAGACATTATTTAGCTTGTCATAATAGTTTTACATGATATTATTAGCATGAAAGTATTTTTAAAACACAATTTTTTATGCATCATAATAGCAGTTATGGTAAGTGATACATATTCTTCAAGAGAATATTGGCAACAACATTCCAGTAGCACAAAACGTCAGTGTATCTTCCCTTCAGTTCATAAGCGTAAAGCTATTTATGAATGTCAGCATATGGATATTTCAGCGCCTAACGAAAATGATAATAATCCACTAATCAATAAGATTCAATCAAATTGGTGGTGCCCGTTAACTGATAATTTTGATCATTATCCTGACTGGCGAAGTTGTCCGGAGACAGCATCCACTTATGCTGGCAATGAACCAGGGAAACAGTGTCACTTTCCATTCCTTTATCGTAAACGGTTATATTCCACGTGTATTCGAACTGGTGAGAGTTTATACTATGCAAATCCCGGTGATTCTATGCCAACAGACAACGGTAAAAGTGGTTATTGGTGGTGTTCTACAACACCAGACTTTGATTTCGATGGTAAATGGACAAAATGTCGACCACAGTTAGCCTATCAGTTACCATGTCACTTTTCAAGGTCATTGGACACAATCGGCGGTTTTGTACAGAATAGTCAACATGAATGTCAACCATTCGCTGGGCATTGGATATGTCATACGGAGTTGAATCAATTACGAGAATGCCCTAAAGTTGTACAGTCACTGAATAATATACGAACAGAGGGTGGAAATGATCCCGGATTTCCTTGTCATTTTCCATTTCAAGCCACCATAATGCTGAATAAAGATGAAAGTCAAAGTGGAAATATAGCTAGAAAACAGAATTTCACTCGTTGTCTACCTGGAATCGGTGAACCAATACATTCTCAACAATTATCAATTTATCCAACATGGATTGGTTATTGGTGTGCAACTACAGAGAATTTTGACAGAGATAAATTATGGACACGTTGTCAATTGAATTATCTGCCTTTATCATCTAGTAGATATGTACATAAATTCACCTTATCAGAAATATGGTCTAAATTGTATTGGTTGACAATGTTGACAGATAGGGAACGAAATAAACTTCGTCTACCTAATCGATTGACTGAAAATGACTTTTCACAGTCTTTAAATCATTTAGAATATTTACGAGCATCATGGGAAATATTTGAAAATCATAATCTTAAAATTACTCAAGAAACACCTAAATATTCTGATGACAACAATGAACTTACCTGGTGGATATGGTTAGCACCATTTTGGTGGATCAATTATAAATTGAATCATAGTTACTCCTCAGACTTACTTTTTCAAGAGACTGGTGAAAATAGACTAATCAATATTAATAATAATAATAATAATAACAAGGAGTATGAGAATCCATTAATTCAAAGTTTCAATTTCCCATTGTGGTTAGATGATTGGAGTGAATCTGCTTGGAATAATTATGCCATACACATGAAAAATCGATGGAATCATCTTATTACCTATTTGCATAATAAATGGTTACAATCATGGTTGATTGCATTTTCAATTGGTTTTCTATCAGCTATTGGGATAATTATTATTAGTTTATTGATAATATTTTTATGGTTAAAAAAATCAATACGCTTACAAATAATCAATAATCTTATTCATTCAAAATATCAAACACATGATAAAAGTGTATTCGATAGAAAGTATGAAGTAAAACATAAAAATAGTCATGATAATAATGTTGACAATGAAACAGTCCACAGTGATCATATTTATCCAGCTCATATGAGAAATATTGAACAATTACAGGATAAGTTATATTCTAATCTACACTGTCGTACATCAGTGTTAGATTATAATAATATGCATAAAATTCCATGTTCTATCAGGCGATTACAAATGTTCAATAGAAATGTTAACTTATTTCAATCAATGAATTCAACCAATCACGTTCATTCAATGTTCAATTCTGGTAACTTTGAGAGTGAAAAGTATTCATCAGTGAGTAAACCAATGAAAAATGCATTACAATCATGTTGTTATAGTGATACTTGGAATTTACCTATTTACGAAAGTAATACATTAAACAATAATACTGACAATTATTGTATGGATTGTATAAGCAGTAATGATAATGTAAGTAGTTATAATATTAAGGAGTATATACAATATTTTCTGGCTGAACTTATTCGTCAATCATTTACTAATGAGAACAAGTTATCGGAACATGAATTTTCAAGGTGTTTAAATTATTTTTCACGAATTATCGATTTTTCACTAACTCAACATGATACATATTATCATGATGAGAAGGAGTTTACTACTGACGATCACAATTACCTAATGGATATTCAAAATGGATCACTAAAGTGTTGCTTACAGCATAAAATCGACAGTACTGATCATAAATATACTTATTGTCAGGAGGGTTATAGGCAGTGTCGTCGTCATCAGCATCAACATCATGATCGTCGTCATCGTGTTTTCTGCTGTGACAACGTTTCACCAACTCATCCCTTTGGAAATGATGACAGTGAGATGAAAATAGTTGAGCCAAGTGCTCCTCCACCAAGTTACGATCAAATTGCTCCAATATTGTAATATGGTAGGCGATGTTTTCGTCGAGTGTGATCACTACGCTACTTACACCTTCGTCTTCTCCATCTTCTTCTTGTTGCCTCACTATTTTGACATCATTTTGCTCTCGAAGTGAAGGTTCTACTTATTGTGATAATTTCCCGTTCTTTACTCCTTCCCTTCTGCTTATACTCTACCACTACAGACTCTACTTGTGCTACTACTACTACTACTAACACAAGTGTTAGTAGTATCGTTTGTTAACCAATCAGATAATTGAAACAGTGGGAATCGGTTTATTTATTTGTTATTTACACAAATGGTGATGAATTCGAGGAAAATCCTAACTAGTCTGTACATAAGTTTACGCGTTTGCGTATGTGTAAATATATAAAGGATTATTTGTAAAAAAAAATACATGCTATGTGCCAAAATATTATAATGATAAAACTGAATTTCTCCTCACTTGTGTTTTACTTAAGATTAACTGAGTTTAAGCAGAATCTCTCCATGAAGCAAATCGATGGAAGCGAAGTAGTTGTTGTCATTCGCCTGTTCTTCAGAGGTGTACGGAACAAAGTATTGGTTATATTGTGTTCTCTGAGCTGGGTTTTTTAATCGTGAAGCTTTCATCGTCCTCCTAGAAGACATAATCAGCACCGACTTCAGTACTGATGATGTCTTCTAGAAAGACTGTGAAAGCTCAGAGAACACAATAAAACCAAGACCATCCACCTGAGCTACAAATATTCCCCACTATTTCGGAACTAAGTATATAGTACTGAAGTCTAGTGATAGGGTGTCAACGTGAAGTAGCTCTACACATGAGTTTATGTTATTGGCTGGGGAAAACGGTAGACGTTTTGTTCACCGTGAATTATTGTTTGCATATGATGATAGGCCTCTTCGTCGCCCACACTCTGTCAGCAAAGACACCGTTTAGTTGACTTAGCGAAAATTACAGTCGACGAGATCCATATACACAAGATCAGTGGTACGGGTCTTATAAAGTAGGAGAAGTTTCATTCGCCTTTCCTGTATTTCAGTAGCTCGAAAAGAGCCACCACTGTGAATCTGTCGTTATTGTGGGCTCATGGGCCAGGACATTTCGAAAAGGTGATCTGAACTTAGGTCTGGAGGCTTGTGGAAATTTCACACACATCTGCCTACGGGGAGGTGGGTATGGTCAACGAATCGAGTAACCCGCTAACATGGATGTGCTGAAAACTGACATTTGAAAGGGTCCCGAGGTGACATTGATAAATTTGACCAGGTGCTGACCGAATATTCTGTCAGGAATGTTTGCTTTTCATGCAGATGTGTTGCTTGGATGTCTTCTGATAGGCAAGGGGACCAATCTAGAAGGTTTGTGTTAGAACACTCATAGATTTGAAGACCAACCAAGAACTGAGCCGAAAACTGGAGTGGAACCTGAGATTGTCTCTTCCTGTACACAAGCAAGCCAATCACTTTAAATCTTGATAAGACTAGTACATTACCATTTAGCCTCCAACTTGAATTCAATAATTCTTATCCTTATTATGATGATAACATTTTTGACAGCTTTAATCCATTTCGGATTGCACACCAGCCATGCACAACCAGACAAGTCAATGGCGTACCTTCATCATTCCAAACTATTCCACTCCACCCGGCTTGACTTCCTGAGGAGATTTAAACCCCCATGAAACAGGTGTCTATTGTAACCTGCTTCTCAGTGATACCGTAGTTGAAATAACTTACAGATCAACATCAACTTCAGAAATAAAACTGTGGTCTCAACTGCACATAGATCCTTTATATCTTGTGTATGCGTATCCTGAAGACCCAAAATCTATGTGCATCCACTTCTACTTTATATACCACAGTGAAGTTTGGATTCAGTCAATTAGCACATCTACAGCAAAGTTGAATAGGAATGATGAGAGTGAGCGTCATTAGTGGACACCACAGATTGTCATCACTCCAGAACACAACTCTACATACTCATTCAGTACTAACTTTTCAACCACTTTTGGTCTGCAGATTGAATGTTACATTCAGGTAGAGAAATATGGTAAGGGTCAGACACCCATAAGTATAGGTGTGTGTTTTAAAGCCTACTGACTCTCTTCCTCATCTAAAACCTGCCTGGTTTTCTCGAATCTGTTGTTCTTGAGTTCCTACCATGGGTTGGATAACTATGAATCCTAGCATCCTGGACACCATCTAACTGAACTGATAGACAGTCCCTATGGTTGTCACAGGAGGACTTCTCTCCCTTCTTATAGGCTGGGATGATCAGTGAAGTACAGCAGTTTGATGCTAACATCTCTGATTACTATACAGTACTTGGTGCCGGTTGCCTACTCCCTCCCTTGCAAATTAGGGGTGGTAAACTGTCGAATCCTGTTACCTCGCACCGTTTCCTGTTTGAAACTGCTATCTCAACTTCAAGGGCAGTTGGAAGACGGACATCTACGTCTTGTATGGGTTCCGAATGGCTGGGGGCTGGGTAACTGAAGCCTTCTGTGAGCCATTTGGACTGTGCTTTAAGGTGTTCCAGCCAAAGCGAGGTAACAGGATTCGACAGTTTACCACCCCTAATTTGCAAGGGAGGGAGTAGGCAACCGGTACCAAGTACTGTATAGTAATCAGAGATGTTAGCATCAAACTGCTGTACTTCACTGATCATCCCAGCCTATAAGAAGGGAGAGAAGTCCTCCTGTGACAACCATAGGGACTGTCTATCAGTTCAGTTAGGATGGTGTCCAGGATGCTAGGATTCATAGTTATCCAACCCATGGTAGGAACTCAAGAACAACAGATTCGAGAAAACCAGGCAGGTTTTAGATGAGGAAGAGAGTCAGTAGGCTTTAAAACACACACCTATACTTATGGGTGTCTGACCCTTACCATATTTCTCTACCTGAATGTGACATTCAATCTGCAGACCAAAAGTGGTTGAAAAGTTAGTACTGAATGAGTATGTAGAATTGTGTTCTGGAGTGATGACAATCTGTGGTGTCCACTAATGACGCTCACTCTCATCATTCCTATTCAACTTTGCTGTAGATGTGCTAATTGACTGAATCCAAACTTCACTGTGGTATACGAAGGTCAAGTGGATAGTAAAAGAGTGAAATCATACAACAGAAGGATTTATGAAAATATATTTAATGTAAAGGTTAGTTGGGATATTCAAGCTTTGGATTATGTCAAGCAGTGAATGCATGTGTGCCACTGTCACTGATTGTCAACCATATTACCAAGTTTCGTCAGTCATTGATTCGCATATTCTGAGGAATTCAAGTCAGGCAGTGTTAATCTGCAGCACATGTATGAGATAAACAATGAGGGACTTCGTCGTCTGATATCATGTCTTGGTCTGTCACCCTGAGTTTTCCTTCAACTTCGGCTAGCATACCAGGTTGATGTAGGCGGCGGTTTGGCATCCACAGCACATGTTCAAGCCACTTCTGGCGGTGAAGGTTCACTACGTACATCGATTGACTTACCTGTCGTGACTAGTACACTTCCCCTGATCGTGACATTGCTAATATGATGAGTCTAACATATGCGAGCAATGGCATGGAGGCATCTACAGTCAAGGAACTGTAACTGCTACGTATCTTCTACTTCTAATGGACATTTCCCCATTTGTGACCTACTAATGAATTGAATTCGTATGACTAATACCTTGATTTGACCAGTAGACTATACTTAAATACTATTAAATAGGTAATACTGTTACACTATGTGATGCATATGATAAAAAACTGTAGTGGGAATACGTTTTACCACTGTGCCCAAACTCTCTTCTCATATTGACTTTGAGGTAGAGATACTTCGTCTTGGATACTTGGGTAGTAATGTGATTTTCTAGGATGGATTTAACTGACATTACTTCAGGTAACCAGAAATATACCAACTTGTACTTTTATAATTTATGCTTCAAGACATTTCCAATTATTCAAGACCAAGTCGGTAAGTGACTTTGAAGTTTCTAAAAACCCCTTTTTCTGTTTTTATTATCATAAAAATTTTAGTGAAATCGAGAGCATATTTCACGAATGTCCTGCATACATAATAAAAACAGAATTGACCTGGGAATCATTCTCTAAGATACACATTATAGTGAGGTTGTATTCTTTCTGTGGATGAGTGATGACTGTACTGCTTTAATTTCGGTCAAAGAGATAGCTTTTCACATCAAAAAATGAATAAATCCAGTAGTTGATAGGATATTCTTTGAAGACACTCTCGATGAGGATGTCTCTTATGCTTTCCTGCTTAAATTCTACCCTTTTTAGTTATGAGGCTTCATTTATGAATCCCTCTACACCTATATAAGTTATTTTTTGAAATGGTCACCTGATTCCATTCTGTGGCTTGACTGCGTGACAGAATGCATGATCTGTTGTCTTGTTGGGGTCTATCATTCTGTTATAGTTTAGTTGGTATTTGGTAGCGAAATTTGTGAAGCATGTTTTATCTCACTGAGGGCTCATCAGCTGGATGAATCTGCATTCATTGTGAGTGACACTGTTCTCGATGAGACTGGAGCAATAGACTGTGTTCCAGATGTCGTCCCGTAAAGAATGCTAGATCAGTGCTTAGTATATCATGTGAACTTGTTCGATACAGAAACAAATCCTCCAACTGTCTAAGCTGTATACTGATGCTTATTCAATATTGCTGATATAGATTCGCGCTTGTTTCCGTCAGCGGAGTCGGCTGCATACCTGATACATTGACTGGTCACATGAGGATAATCAGCTTCATGTTGTCAGATTAAAACAAGTATCCACCAATGCTGCGTCGTGATGTTGAGTTTCCTAGTTCGGTGGCCATACTGCGAAAGGGTCCATAGAATTGGACCAGCACTCAACACTAGAAAATATGAGGTTGGTTGTCACCCAGTAACTGATCAGTGTATCTAATACAGTCCTACGGAAGGTTAGTCACAGCACAAATAACTCAATATTAACGTCTCTGACTGTATCTCTGGGTGATGTGGCTTTGAGTCCCAGGCGAAACATCGT